ATGCTGTTTTCAATTTTGTTGACTTGAGTTGCACATAATGTATAGTATAGTTGTAGATATCATAGGTATCAAAAAGGAGAAAAGATTAATAAGAGAATATATATTTTAAAACATATATTTTTATTTAACATGCTATATCATTTTCAAGCCTAACCGAAATGCTTTTTTTGTGTCTGTAGCATCATCAGATCATCCAACAGTATATGGTGACCTTGGAGAACCTTCTATTTACAGCAGAATTGGATCATCACATACTCGCTGTATTTCAGCAGTTCTGTGCACTCCAGGGCTGAGTAACCTTTTTTTTTTGTATAGGACTTAATTTCGTCTGGTTGAGTTTAAGATGGAATCTTTGATAAGAAAGGAAAACAATCTTTTAATCTGAAAATACATTAACTGTGTTGTCCTAGATAAACTACACAGTGCTTGAATGGGATGACTTGGGGCAGTAGGGGCCTTATGCTAGTTATGATTGCTGGGTGATTGGGATGGAATAATGCGTGGATTTCTAATTTTGAAATGGTTTGAATGTTGACTCTGCCATAGCATCTGCTTTGTTCCCTATTGTTTGTATAAAAATAAAAAATAGATAATAAACATAATTGGCTCTTTGCTTGCTTTTTTACATATGAACGAATTCTATGATAATGTAAAACAAATGTCAATACATATGAATTCAGATTAACTTTTCCTAATATTCCATATTTTTTAAAAAATGTTTAAATGATCAGGTTTGTAAAGCAGCCTAGACTTACGTTGACCAAAGGGGACTTCACTGATTGTTCTTTTTGAGATCAAATATATCAAGCATTCCACCTGGAATTGAACGTCTAATTTGTAGTGCTCATTCTATATTTTACTTGAATTAAGCAATTAAGGTTATTAAAAACTATCCAGGCAAACAGCTGAAGTGGAGAAGGGGTTTCCTAATACAAAGAGGTTGGTGGCTCCAGCTAAACCTATCAATCTGTGAGAAAAGCAGTTTTGACCACAAGGAGGCTAACTCAAGTCTGAATACAGACAGAGTAAACTGGTCTGCCAAGTTTTGATTTATCAGCTTAACTATTGTTTGTACCTTAGTGCTTACTCAGGAATTTTATACGTTTTGTCATTAATGAAGGCTGGCTTTGTTAATATTTTTTTCAGCTTCTTGAGAATACAATATCACCCAGAGCTGCTCCTTAAGGGTCTATTCTCAACATTGGAAAATTTCTGTAGTTTGGATAAAATGGCTGGGCCCTTGATGCTCTTTGCTCTTGCTTTTCTTTTTGCAAATGTTTCATTCCCAAGTTAGGTGATATGATATGAATGTTCCCTGCCGAAGAGTTGTGCCTCTAAGGAGAATAGGGCAGAAAGACTTCCAGCATCATAGTAGCTTAAGCTGCATAGCCCTAGGTCCTGGTTTCCAGAGCTTTGATGGCCCTGGACTTCCATTGCTACTACTGAATGCCAGGTTAACTTGTAATAAAGTTACCTCATTCACATTCTGATTGCATATGAAGGGCTGACCTAGTTTGCATGACTGATGCCTGGTTGGGCACTGAAAGGGAGACTCCTGTCTCAAAAATGTGCCCTCCTGGGTTTCAAGTATGTCATCAATCATGATTCCAGGACAGCAGCAAGAGGAGGCTGGCATTATTTGTCTCTAGTGTCTTCTAGGACCCCTGTCCCTGAAATCATGAGGATGTGAAACCCTTTTTGTGAGGTTGGGCTGTTGGGATCAGTGAGAACTGCTGCTCACTTAACCTGCCTGCAGTATAGCAGTGTCCCTGTCTGGGCTCCTGAACTCTGAGTTGAAGCTCTCCAGCCTTTATAGTTCTTGATAACTCTTATCTCTGGGCCTAAGGCAGTGTTTACGAACTTTTTCGGCACCGAGTACCAAAATGGGAGCGTGCAGGAGCACCAGAAACCAGAAGAGCAGCTCCCTGGCGTGCATGCATGGGAACACTGGAAACCAGAAGAGCTGTTCCCCAGCGTGCATGCACGTGCTGGGAAGCTGAGCATGTGCACCGCTCACCTGATCTTTCACTTTCTGGTGTGCATGCGCAAAGATCAGCTGGCCACAGTTTCTCGGTGCACGCATGCACATCAGAGAGCTGTTTTTCTGATTTCTGGCACTCCCACGTGCATGAAGACCAGCACGCCGGAACATAGAAGAGCAACAGGCGATGGCTGGCGTGCCCGAAAAGATGGCTCTGCGTGCCATAGCTTCACCATCACTGGCCTAGGGTCTGAGGTAGTACCATGGCCACCATGGTAGCCAATACCTAGTCCAACTCAATCATGGCCTAACCCACGGGAGATGGGGTCACACAGTAGATCTGTTTGCCTCGGCATTTGTGTCTGGATTTGGGGGGTGTTAATATCAGTCCTTTGCCATGGGCAGATTACTCCTTTTGGCCCTAAAGTTCTCTACAGCAGCCTCTCACAGGAAGGCAGGGCCAATTAGATCAGCCCACACGAAGTGCCCCATGGAAACAGTGCAGTTTCATGTAATTTAGCAGATGTTTTCATTGCTACTTTCAAGGAGGAAGCAATAGGGATGCTGGACCAAACTGCTCTTGCAGGTTTCTGTGCAGGCAGATCTTGTAGAGTTCTAAAAAATGAACAGACAGAAGCTGTTTAGAGTGATGCTTGGGGAAGACAAAGAATGAAGTCAAGCATTGATAAGAGCTTTTGTTAGGATGCATTTTCGGTTGATAAAGAGGTAGTGGTGAAATTTATTTTTGTTTACTACAGGTTCTGTGGGGATAGCTTGGGCGTGGCAGGGGAAGGATACTGCAAAATCCCCATTCCCTCCCCACTCCTGGGGGAAAGATATTGCAAAATCCCCACTCCTGGGGGAAAGATTGCAAAATCCCCATTCCCTCCCCACTCGGGGGCCAGCCAGAGGTGGTATTTGCCGATTCTCCAAACTACTCAAAATTTCCACTACTGATTCTCCAGAACCTGTCAGAACTTGCTGAATTTCACCTCTGTAAGGAGGGAAACATTTGCAAATGTTTCATCACCCTGCCAGATAATATAATACAAATAATCCCTGCCAGACTTGTACCTCAAGAAGAATTGGGCAGAAAAACTTGTAGCAACATAATCAGTCAAACTATATTGCTTTATACCAGGACCTGGTTTCTGGAGATTTGATGATTCTGGACTCCAGTTGCTGCTACTTAATGCCAAGTCGACATATAATAAAGCTCACCCCGTCCACATTCTGAGTATGTATACAAGCACCTTCATTAGATGTACATTGTTTTGATGAGGGTAGCAAAGCATACTTACTTTTCCACTCTTATTAAATCAGGAGATAGTCCCAATGGCCCTGTTTCACCTGATCAGATCCCTCCGGGGTAAGAACATCCTGAGGAGCTGGTTCTTGTAGGGCTACTTTGAGGAATATTCTCAGTGTTTGTCAGTTAAAGTTACTTGGCTTCTCTCAGAGTTGGACTCTGGCTAGGCAGATATTTGCAAGTGACCCAAGACACATTTGAGTTCTGTCATCTGGGAGGAATTTCAGATGGTTGATCCTGAGAAAGTGGACAGAGTCCTTGTGGCTGTGGACTTTTGGCTACCTGCATTCTGGATCTGTCAACTTTAAAGCAAGGTGCATATCCTTTTCAAGAAGCCATTCTTGGACCCAACAGTCATTCCTAGCATATCTTCAGAGCATCAGCCCTCCCAGTAGCATTCTCCATGGCATACACATGGTTCAGACTGAAATTTTGGAGCTTACAGGTTTATGGCTCTATTGAAACAGCATTATATCCTATAATATATATGTGGATGACCTGAAAATTGGAATGTGTTTTTGTAACCTACAAGCAACTGCAGATACATATGAATGTATCTATGCAATGATAGATATGATTGTGTATTATACAGTTAAATATATTATTTGATAAATGCTTGATAAAATATTCTTTTTAAACTGATTTTAATGTAGTATTTTACTTCTGGATACTGAAAAAAAAATCACAGCAAATAAGATGACCTCTGCCTATCACTGAAATATTCTAACCTTGCCACTGTTCAGCAATGCACAATCTAGCATCTCAATCATTCCCACATCATTTATGTATTTTAAATTACAAAGGAGGCATTTCAACATTTATATTCTACGCTTCTTCCAAATCAGAATTCACTGTCCAATGTACATTGATGCAAGGCTCATAACTATCAGAAGAGTCCTTGTGATTCCCCATGGAAAAAAATAATAATGAAATAACCTTACAGGATTTAGTCATTTCCCCATAAGAAGAATCTCCCCATAATAAGGAATCTCAGAGCGATGCATCGGGGATTGACCCACTGGGTTTTGTTCTCGTTTGAATTACTACTTCAGCTTCAACCGCAATAATACTCGGGCAAACAATAGATACAAACTCAGAGTAAACCGCTCCAAACTTGATTGCAGAAAATACGATCAGCAACAGAGAGGTCAATGCCTGGAATGATCTACCTGACTCCGTTGTTACTTCCTCAAAACCCCCAAACTTTAACCTTAAACTGTCTACCCTGGACCTGACCCCATTCCTAAGAGGTCCGTAAAGGGGGCGTCCATAAGCCCACCATCGTGCCCAACATTCCTGTCCTAATGTTCTCTTTTATTTGTACCCATTTCTTATGTATATACTTATACCTGCTTATACTTATATGTTTATATGTTATATTCATGCTTATATTTGTTTTCTCATACATGCTAGACAAAGCAAATAAATAAAATAAAATAATAGCTCATCCCCTCGCTCTTTCTTTTTAAAACAGCAGGAACCTGCGTTATCGGAGAAGTTCTGCTTCCAGCACCACCCCTTCCACTCCCCAAGAAGCACAAAAAAAAAAAAAGATGCTCGAAACCTCCCGCCTGAGAGACCGTCACTTAGCCTTGACTTGCTCCGGAACAGCTCCATTCTCATGCTGTCCCACTCCCAGAGCTCCTCTATGGTCTTTCCCTCCCACCCACCAGAGCCCACCGGAAGGACCTGCCGCCGGGCCGGAAGGTAACGAAGAGCCGAGAAGAGCAGACACGCGACTTTGCCGCCCGCCCGCCTGCCTCTCTCTGTGTCCCTCGGCAGCGTCTGAGCCGGCGGCTTCCGGCGAGCGCCCCTCCGAACATCGGTGGCTGCTTGCAATCTGTGCGTGGCGCCGGTTGCCCCTTTCCGCCCCGAGAGAGAGAGAAGGAGACCGTCGGCCGGTCCGTCGAGAGAATCGAGCCATGTCGCGCAGGCGGCACCGGGACGAGAATGACGGTGAGAGCGGGAGGGAAGCGGAGGGTGAGATCGTCGCCAGGCCGCCTTCACCACCTCCACCTCCACCCTTGCGCCTCCTCGTTAGAGATGCAGGAGCTCTTTGGATGGGCGTTTTTTTAAAATCAGATCCCGATTTCTCTCCGGGGTGATCGGGAGAATCGACTGAAAACATTCGTTTCAGGTGGACTAACCAGCACTAAATGTATTTGCAGGGGGCATCTGTACATTAAGCCTAATAATGTACCCAGGGCACCCCCCAATCCCTGTTTCAGGTCTTTTGCCTTCTGCTGAAAGCTGAACTGTGCCTTGTAGTTACAGAGTTTGACAGGTTCCCAACCTGTAACAAGGTTTAAAATTGACATTTTTTACACAATCCTATTATAAATTCCCAGATTTTGTGCACAGGCAAGGATTTTGTATGTTTCTTCGCAATCAGTCCAGATCTGTTTAGAGAGTGGTTCCCAACCTTTTTTTGGCCATGCCCCACCTAAGCATCTCTAAAATCCTGGTGCCCTGTGCCCTGTGACATATAATTCTTACTTTACTCAAAAAGTGAACTCTACTCACACGGAGGAATCCTAAAAGGCCATTGACTTGGTTTAAACAAGGTTCAAATTGCCCCCATTAAAAATCAAATTGCCCCCCTGTAGGGCCTGGGCCCCATGTTGGGTACCACTGGTTTAGATGAATGGAAAGAAAGAACCCATTGTTCTGAAAGATGCTTCGCCTTTGATAGATAATGTACATTGTTATATATTGTTCTAACAAAACACTGTTAGTATCGCAGGTGTAACTGTCTACAGTTTAATTTTGCCTATTTTAAAAACTCTGAACACAGAGACACTCTTTATAGGTTTGAGAATTGAAGAAAGAAATAACTTTGAGCATGTGTATATGTATATGTATTTGGGCAGTTAGAGTTTCATATGGTGGGCTTTTCCCAGCATTTGAACTGTGATTTCACATTTCCTTCTTTACACTTGGTTTTCTGACATTGGTTGGGAAGAGGGAAATCTCCCACTTCTCAGGGACATTGTAGGATTATATCTGAATTAAAATTTATTCTCAGTGATCAACCTGTGGTTAGCATCTGCCCCCTCCGCATACATACAACCTGATATAGAAACAAATTGCAGGACTGGAAAAAGAATGAAGTCATTCCTGTAATGGTGGACCTCAGCTTTTTGTTTTGTTCAGTTCTTTGTTGATGTGCTGGCACAGCTGACTTAAAAAAAAAAAAAAAGAGCAGAGTAAAAGAGTTGGTTTATCACACACAACCCCTCCACGTTTAATGGTTGAGATTCAGGTGGGCCTCCGTATACTTGCAGCGCAAACATATCCCCAACACGTTCCTCCTCTTTTTCCCCACAACAACAACCCTGAG